GAGGTTCAATGCAAGACCGAGCCATCATTCACTGCCTAGCAACACATGCCCCGAATCAACGGGATCAAAGTCGCCACACTGCCCAACCGTTCATCTTGTCAAGCATACCAAAGCCTCACACTTCCTCTGAAGGAGTGAGGTTCAATGCAGGACCGAGCCATCATTCACTGCCAACCAACACATGCCCCGAATCAACGGGATCAAAGTCGCCACACTGCCCAACCGTTCAACTTGTCAAACTTCCCTTGAAGGAGTGAGGTTCAATGCAAGACCGACCGATCATTCACTGCCAAAAGACGAACACGCCTAATCAAAAGGGAACATAGTCCCCACACCGCCCAACCGTTCGTCTTGTCAATCATATCAGAGCCCCACACTTCCCTTGAAGGAGTGAGGTTCAATGCCAGACCGAGCCATCATTCACTGCCAACCAACACATGCCCCGAATCACCGGGAACAAAGTCCCTGAACTACCCATCCGTTCACCTTGTCAAGCATACCAAAGCCCCACAATTCCCTTGAAGGAGTGAGGTTCAATACAAGACCGAATCATCATTCACTGCCAAGCAACATACCCCGAATCAACGTGATCACAGTCTCCGCACTGCCCATCCATTCATCTTGCCAAGCATACCAAAGCCCCACACTTCCCTTGAAGGAGTGAGGTTCAATGCTAGACCGAGCCATCATTCACTGCCAACCAACACATGCCCCGAATCAACGGGATCAAAGTCCACACACTGCCCAACCGTTCATCTTGTCACGCACACCAAAGCCCCACACTTCCCTTGAAGGAGTGAGGTTCAATGCAGGAAAGAGCAATTATTCATTGCCAAGCAACGCATGCCCCGAATCACCAGGAACAAAGTCCCCGAACTACCCAACCATTCACCAGCATACCAAAGCCTCATACTTCCCTTGAAGGAGTGAGGTTCAATGCAAGATCAAGCCATCATTCAAGCCATCATTCACTGCCAAGCAACACAAGCCCCGAAACAACGGCATCAAAGCCTCCACACTGTCTAAACGTTCCTATTGTCAAGTATACCAAAGCCCCACACTTCCCTTGAAGGAGTGAGGTTCAACACACAAGACCGGACCATCATTCACTGCCAAGCAACATATACCCCGAATCAACGGGATCGCCGTCTCCGCACTGCCCAACCGTTCATCTTGTCAAGCATACCAAAGCCCCACACTTCCCTTGAAGGAGTGAGGATCAATGCAAGTTCGACCGTTCATTCACTGCCAAGCAACGCACTCGCCTAATCAAAAGGAACAGAGTACCCACACTGCCCAACCGTTCATCTTGTCAAGCATATCAGGGCCCCACACTTCCCTTGAAGGAGTGAGGTTCAATGCAAGACCGAGCCATCATTCACTGCCAACCAACACATGCCCCGAATCAACGGAATCAAAGTCGCCACACTGCCCAGTCGTTCATCTTGTCAAGCATACCAAAGCCTCACACTTCCCTTGAAGGAGTGAGGTTCAATGCAAGACCGAGCCATCATTCACTGCCTACCAACACATGCCCCGAATCAACGGGATCAAAGTCGCCACACTGCCCAGTCGTTCATCTTGTCAAGCATACCAAAGCCTCACACTTCCCTTGAAGGAGTGAGGTTCAATGCAAGACCGAGCCATCATTCACTGCCTACCAACACATGCCCCGAATCAACGGGATCAAAGTCGCCACACTGCCCAACCGTTCATCTTGTCAAGCATACCAAAGCCTCACACTTCCCTTGAAGGAGTGAGGATCAATGCAAGATCGACCGATTATTCACGGCCAAGCAACTCAGATGCCTAATCAAGGGCAACAGAGTCCCCACACTGCCCAACCGTTCACCTTGTCAAGCATACCAAAGCCCCAAACTTCCCTTGAAGGAGTGAGGTTCAATGCCAGACCGACCCATCATTCACTGCCAAGCAACACATGCCCCGAATCAACGGGATCAAGGTCCTCACACTGCCATACCGTTCATCTTGTCAGGCATATCAGAGTCCCACACTTCCCTTGAAGGAGTGAGGTTCAACGCCAGAGGTTCAATGCAAGACCGAGCCATCACTCACTGCCAAGCAACACATGCCCCGAATCAACGGGATCAAAGTCGCCACCTTGCCCAACCGTTCATCTTGTCAACCATACCAAAGCCTCACACCTCCCTTGAAGGAGTGAGGTTCAATGCAAGATCGATCGATCATTCACTGCCAAAAGACGAACACGCCTAATCAAAGGGAACATAGTCCCCACACCGCCCAACCGTTCATTTTGTCAAGCATATCAGAGCCCCACACTTCCCTTGAAGGAGTGAGGTTCAATGCCAGACCGAGCCATCATTCACTGCCAACCAACACATGCCCCAAATCACCAGGAACAAAGTCCCTGAATTGCCCATCCGTTAACCTTGTCAAGAATACCAAAGCCCCACACTTCCCTTGAAGGAGTGAGGTTCAATGCAAGACCGAGCCATCATTCACTGCCAAGCAACACATGCCCTGAGTCAACGGGATCAAAGTCCCCACACTGCCCAACCGTTCATCATGTCAACAATACGAACGCCTCACACTTCCCTTGAAGGTGTGAGGTTCAATTCAAAACCGACCCATCGTTCACTGCCAAGCAACACATGCCCCGAATCAACGGTATCAAAGTCCCCACACTGCCCAACCCTTCATCTTGTCAAGCATAACGGCAACCCCACACTTCCCTTGAAGGAGTGAGGTTGAATGCGAGACCAAGCCACTGTTCAATACCAAGCAACACACGTCCCGAATCATCGGGAATGGAGTCACAAGGCTGCCCAAACCGTCCAGTTGTCAAGCGTATCAGAGCCCCACACTTCCCTTGAAGGAGCGAGGTTGAAAGCAAGACTTAGCCATTCTTCAATGCCAAGCAACACACGTCCCGAATCACCGGGTATGGAGTCACAAGGCTGCCCAAACCGTTCATTTGTCATTCAGAACAGAGCCCCACACTTCCCTTGAAGGAGTGAGGTTGAAAGCAAGACTTAGCCATTCTTCAATGCCAAGCAACACACATCCCGAATTACCGGGTATGGAGTCACAAGGCTGCCCAACCGTTTATTTGTCAAGCGTATCAGAGCCCCACACTTCCCTTGAAGGAGTGAGGTTGAAAGCAAGACTTAGCCATTGTTCAACACCAAGCAACACACTTCCCGAATCACCGGGTGTGGAGTCACAAGGCCGCCCAAACCGTTCAGTTGGCAAGCGTATCAGAGCCCCACACTTCACCGTGGAAGGAGTGAGGTTGAATGCGGGACTAAGCCATTGTTCAAATTGTTCACTGCCAAGCAACACATCCCCCGAATCACCGGGTATGTAGTTGCAAAACTGTACCAGTCGTTTACATCATCAAGCAATGCAGAGCCTCGCAACTTCCCTGAAGGAGCAAGGGTGAAAAGCTAGATGTACAGAAATTATAATAATTATAAAACAACAGGCGGAAGACACAAGGGCATGCATAGTACAAGGCACTATGTGTAGCGATGTATTGATTCGAGATTGTTGCTTACCTTATTTGAAGATGGAAGCCGGTCCTGCTCTCTTTTATTATTTCTGGAATTTCTTGCTTCAGAATGTTTCTCAAATCTAGCCAGGCTATTCCGACCTCTTCGGCCTCAACCTCTGCTAAATTGTTATCACAATTTCTGTCAAAGTCTCAAACCCTGGAGGTTGCACGTTGGCAGATCCGTTATTACTCAAGGAACCGCTAATCAAATTCATTGGCCTGCACTCCAAGGAGACTTCAATCAAAACGCGAAGAAGAGGTCTGCAACTGTGCAAGGTCTTGCAGCTGCATCTAATGCAAATGTCGCGCATGCGTAGTGCGTTCAAATTGCGGTGGCCCGGCCAGTGGGAGCGCGGGCCGGGGCTTCCGTCGCGGGGTAGGACGAATTAGTTTCCGCTCCACCGCGCCTTGAATATTTTTCAAGCATTCTACTTCCTACATGATTGTATTATATAAATCGGCATCCGGACGCCCCTTCGGGCCGCGGGGCCGTCCGTAAATACATTATACCGGTAATCGTTAGCGCTATCGAGGAAAATGTCTATACAATGACTATGTATGCATTGTAGATCTGAATTTAGCGACGAAAATGCTCTACTTGTTTCCATGCAGTGACTCACAATGCGGTTCAAACTACCAACATCATAATTATGGGCTTTCAATATTCCGTGCTAAATGACAACTCCTTCATTTCGCTACTCACTGACACATGCACTGGCGTGGCCAGAGAAATCCGGCCCCATGAACAATAATAGCGGGGGGGGCTATGCGGTCCCAGCACCACACACACACACTACTGCTCTGCGAAATTCAACGCGGCGCGCTGCGCTACATTAATTTTAATCATGAGGTTGGATATCTCTAGTCAGAACTGTAAATTTGCTGATTTAGGTCAAGCTACGCCATGAAAACAACCCACACACGACCGTGAGGTCAAACTAAGAAAATAACCCACATGCAGCAAGGAAGGTCAACCGTGAGGTCAAGCTAACCAGGTCAAATTAAGAAGAAAATAACCCACATGCAAGAAAGCCGGGGTCAAGGTTGAAATATTCCCGGGCTACATGCACCGGGAGGTCAATCTTTGTTCAGAAGTCGCAAGATTCCGTACAAGAATGTTTGAATTTGTTCCATATGCTGGAAAGTTGGTGGAAACTCAAGTCCGTTGCCTTTCTACAAAAACAAGAAGCATCGCGGCAAACTGATTGCTCCCTCCACTGCATGGTTACTCATGCATACACCGCAGTACAGTTCCGACACAGGGTGGACAGCAAGCATATTACTTGCAGACAGCGAGCATACTACTTGCATGCAACACGAGAGTTAGGTCCGTGAGGAATATTATAATAGTATACCTCCAGGACTAATCCAGTCAACCACACAAGAACAAATTGCTGCACCCCTCACTCTGACAAAACCCGCACCGACAGCAGCAGCAGCAGCAGCAGCAAGAAGTAGAGCACACTGGCGAGTTTAGGTTTGTTTTATTCAGAATATTGAAAAGTGGCCAATGCCAGCAGCCTCAGCAAGGTGTCAGAAGAGGAGGCCGACAGCAACAGCGATACCTTGCATGGATCCCAGGTTGATGATAATCTGGGTATACAAATTAGAACACATGCATGCACACAAGGACGCCCGCACACACACACACATACACCCACACACACACACACAAACACGCCAGCACACACACACAAACACACACACACACACACAAACACGTACATGTACATATCCATGCACACAAACATGGGTGAGCTTGCTGTTACAGATTTAGGCAACAAGCGGTGAATGTGATACCAAATATTCCTCTGGCATATCAAGATCTGCAATGATTCCTATAATATGGGTCATCCGAAACAAAGTGAGCGTCACTTGCCAACGGAAGCCCCTCTGCTTGAACCATAAGGTCTACTGCAATACCTATATATCTGAGATACGATACAATGATCACACAGCAATGACGCAACAAAGTCCTTTTCCGTCACTACTCTGAGTTTCGTGTGAAGCACTCATCACACAGCATGATACAGCATTATCTGAGGTACGTATGGTCAATGCCGGGTCCCAATGCAATGGGATAAGAGACGTTTGAGTGTGGTACTGCACAGCCGTACACAAAACCAGTAAATGAATGCCAACATATGATCTTCACGCTTCGAGTACATGCCAGGGACATGTACGCTTTGTTTTAGCTCCACAGCACTTGAACGAGAAAAACATCCAGTTGTCAGATTTCATTTGCCACCACAATGCATGTGTGTGCCCACGAGGCTGCAGATAGCTGCATGTCGCTACCGTACCGCTGGAGTATACACCGCACTGGAGTATAAGCCATACCCAGATTTTTTTGTCATGAAATACAGACATCTGCCCCATTTTGCACCGTTAATTCGACCATCGTAGTATAAGGCGCTACGACTGTTTTTTTTTGTGGGTAAACTACTGGTGTTTAACCCTTTGGGCTTTCACTTGCCACAGCTAAAAATCCGGTATTTGAGTGAGCCGCGGAACATCCGCCATAACTTTAGAACCATTGATATTTGTAAATACAAACCTATATATTTTCTGAAAGGTATGACAATACCGAAGTCAAAAACACTCACATCAAGTCCAACAATATCTGAAAAGTTGCACATTTGGTTGTTAGAAGTCAAGCGTTCGACAAAATATACGATAAATTTCTGACTGTCCAGTTTGAGCTGTATTTTCGAACAGCCAAACACATACTCACCTGATTTATACTGCAAAGTGCCTCTGGTGGTACTGAGAGAAGCAGTCGCGAGCAGAGACATGCAGAAACCGGTCGCAGGCTGCACAGTAGGTGACGCATCGCCGCTCAGCTTTTTCCAACTCGTAGCAGTTGACACAGTTGCGCTTCAGATCTGGTGAGTGCTTGGGCACATGCATGAGAGCAACTTCAGCTGCAGTAGGTGCCTGTGGAGGTGCAGAGTATCGGCGCTTTGGCGGTGGAGCACCGATGTCGAGATTTGCAAGCTGCCGGATCAAGTTGGTGTGACGGTGGTGTCGTCGGCGTTCTATTGCACCCGGATGATCGGCACGGTATAGTTCGAAGATGCGATAGCTGTTGGTGGCTGCAATATCCAACATGTCCAAGAACAGACTTTTCCAATACTTTTTGCATCGCCTCAGTGTACGGTAAGCCGGAATGTGTTGATCAAACAGGTCAACACCCCCATGCTCTTGTTGTCATCAGCAATGGAGAGTGGCTGGGGGATACACATGTAGATACCATGGATCGTGCGTAGTTTCCTCTGAAAAGCGACTCCTCGGACCAGAACTGGCGGATTTCCGGCAGACGGTTGAGCGCCATGTGGAACAGCAGAGCAAACAGACAGTAAATTTCTTCGTTGGTTGTGTCGACCCATTCTCCCTGTACTGCATATGATCTCTTCTCCCCGATGTGTTCTCTGGCATAACTGTTAGTGTACTCAACGATTCGTGCTACGATGTCTTCTGTGAAATACAATTTGAAAAAATCGAGTTCACAGGTTTTGAAAATTTTCGGGGAGCTGCAGACTAACGTCGTCGCCAGGGTTGAAGACAGGAAACTCACCAGGTCCATCAACATCGATGTCATTGTATCCTGACGCTGGCTGATAATTCTGAGCTGCTCCTCGTCCGCGTCCTCGTCCGCGATTGTGCGCTGCACCACGTCCACGTCCAGGAATTGCATTTCGGTGCGCAGCGATAGGAGCGACTCCGCGACCTCGTCCTCCACGGCCACGTCTTGCAGGTCTCCCTCTGCCTCTTCCACGGCCGCGGGCATGTCCAGCTTGTAGCTCCGAGCCTGAGTCAGTGTCAGAACCGTCAGCTGACTCGCTTGACGTGGAGTTCTCAGCATTGTCAAAATAAATTTCGTCTTCGGTATCGGAATTCATAGCTGCTAGTTCGGCATCCAAATTCTCTTCCTCTTCGGATGACAGCATGTCAATGTCGCTGCCAATGTCATTGCCGAATGCTTCGCCATCGTCACTGTCTTCAACAGGACTGGCACTCCTCTCCAAGTCTTCAAAAAGGCGCAGCGCTCCCGCTGCGTCCATGGCCGTTTCTTCTCCGTTTTCACTACTAAAATGTACAGTCATGCAGAAAAGAATGTGTGGAAGTGCGTCATGTAGCTGCATGCACTTCGCGCGCTTGGTTCTCATTTTTTTTGTATGTGAGCCATGCCTGGGACTTTCCCTACTTGTCATCCCATGGCTCAGGGGCCTGGGGCCAAAGTTTGAAGGCTAGACTCGCAACAGAACGGAAGTTACGATCTCTAGTAGTGCGTCATGTGCATACCCGTCGAATTCGACGGGTAAAAGCCCAAAGGGTTAAAGCAAGGCTTGTACTCCGTAAAGTACGGTATCTGTAGCGGCCGGTCAGTCTGTATTCCATTTCCACCACTATGACACATGCAGTCAGTTAAGGACTGGAGTTCTTACCTTCAAAACACTTTCCAGCCAACATCAGAACGTTGAGTAGCAGGCAACATCCGCCACATCTCTGATTTGATACTGCTTAGACATGACAACGATGACGATGTCAGGATAGATTGATTCAGGCATAGCCACGACGACATCCTGGATGTACCCTTGCCCTGTATAAAGATTACACATTGCCAGACAGTGGACACGACAAAGTACAATCTTATGAGATACTAACAGATCCTATAGAAATATATACTGGGATTGTACTGCTGGTCTTTCTATGAGTATGTCACGCCACTCTATTCATTATTTTGCACGTGTTTCTGCGTAACACTGCCTTATATGGGCCAGGTACAGGTGATAAATGATTGTAACGTTGGAAAGCTATTCATGCATGCTTGTCCACCAGGCAAAATCGAAGGTGCTAGGCACACGGAAAATGTCTAGGCAGGCGCAGAACGCCGAGAGAAAAAACTGTTCCATGCACGAACACACACATACACACACACACACACGCACGCACACGCACGCACGCACACACACGTGACGGCATGTGCACGAAAAAAACATAAACATGCTCCAACAGTATCTAACCTTCTTCATCCTGCTGTCACAGTTAATGCATTTCTTAAGTTGATTGTCTCTGCCGTGATGAGGCCTGATACAAGCATAGCAAAACAAATGGAAAAGATTTTCAATTCAGGACTGAAATATTAGTAATGTTCAACAGAAAGTGTTTGTACAGCTCTGGCCAGAGAAATCTAACCTCCTGAGTAAAGCAGTGTCACATTCCAGTGCACAGGACAGTGTGTGTGAGTGTATGTGTGTGTGTATGTATGTGTGTGTGTGTGTGCATGTGTGTGTGTGCGTATGTGTGTGTGCGTGTGTGTGTGTGTGTGTGTGTGTGTGTGTATGTTGTGTGTGTGTGCGTCTTGTGTGTGTATGTGCGTGTTGTGTGTGTGTGTGTGCTAGGGCTGTATTGTACCCTGCGCTATGTTAATGCATGAGGTACGACTTCTACGGGAAGTACCATATGACAATACAAGCCTCCCAAAAAATCTAAAAAATACAAAGCTAACAAAACATTCATCTTCTCAAACGTACTTCGAAGTACTACAGTTCCAAACTTACCTTGAATGAGTGTGGGGTTGAAAGCAAGGCCAAGCCACTGTTCAATGCAAAGCATCTCTTGTCCACAGAATCACTGGCCATGGAGTAACAAAGATATGCGAACTGTTCATTTGCAATCGTTCCACAGCCACACACTCACACTTCCCATTTGGGAGTGAGGTTGAATTCAAAACTGAGCCATCATTCACTGCCAAGCAACATCCGTCCCGAATAACCGGGAACGGAGACACAAGGTTGGCAAATCATTCATTTTTCAATCCAATCGGAGCTTAATACTTCCCTTTAAGGAGTGATGATGAACGCAACACTGAGATTCCATTTACTGCTAAGCAAAACACGCCTCGAACTAGGGAAAGAGAGTAACCAAGCTTCCCAACCATTCATCTTGTCAAGCATACCAAAGCCTCACACTTCCCTAGAAGGAGTGAGGTTCAAAACAAGACCGACCAAATATTTGATGCCAAGAAACACATGCCCCGAATCAACGGGAACAGAGTCACCACACTGCCCAACCATTCATCTTGTCAAGCATACCAAAGCCGCACACTTACCTTGCAAGAGTGAGGATGAATGCGAGATCGACCGATCATTCACTGCCAAGAAAAGCCCACGCCTATTCAAAGGGAACAGAGTCCCCGCACTGCCCAACCGTTCATCTTGTCAAGCATATCAGGGCCCCACACTTCCCTGGAAGGAATGAGGTTCAATGCCAGACCGAGCCCTCATTCACTGCCAACCAACACATGCCCCGAATCAGCGGGATCAAGGTCGCCACACTGCCCAACCGTTCATAATGTCAAGCATACTAGAGCCCCACACTTCCCTTGAAGGAGTGAAGTTCAATGCAAGCTCGCGCCATCATTCACTGCCAAGCAACGCACGCCCCAAATCAAAGGGAACAGAGTCACCACATTACCCAACCGTTCGTCTTGTCAAGCATATCAGAGCCCCACACTTCCCTTGAAGGAGTGAGGTTCAATGCCAGACCGAGCCATCATTCACTGGCAACCAACACATGCCCCGAATCAACGGGATCAAAGTCGCCACACAGCCCAAAAGTTCATGTTGTCAAGCATACCTGAGCCCCACACTTCCCTTGAAGGAGTGAGGTTCAATGCAAGTTCCACCGATCATTCACTGCCAAGCAACGCACGCCCATAATCAAAAGGAACAGAGTCACCACATTACCCAACCATTCACCTTGTCAAGCATATCAGGACCCCACACTTCCCTTGAAGGAGTGAGGTTCAATGCAAGACCGAGCAATCATTTACTGCCAAGCAACACATGCCCCGAAACACCCGGAACAAAGGTCCCAACCTGCCCAACCGTACGCATTGTCCAGCATACCAAAGCCTCACACTTCCCTTGAAGGAGTGAGGTTCAATGCAAGACCGAGCCATCATTCACTGCCAAGCAACACATGCCCCGAATCAACGGGATCAAAGTCTCCACACCGCCCAACCGTTCATCTTGTCAAGCATACCAAAGCCCCACACTTCCCTTGAAGGAGTGAGGTTCAATGCAAGATCGACCGATCATTCACTGCCAAGAAACGAGCATGTCTAATCAAAGGGAACAGAGTCACCACACCGCCCATCCGTTCATTTTGTCAAGCATATCAGAGCCCCACACTTCCCTTGAAGAAGTGAGGTTCACTGCAAGATCGACCAATCATTCACTGCCAAGAAACGATCATGTCTAATCAAAGGGAACAGAGTTCCCACACCGCCCATCCGTTCATTTTGTCAAGCATATCAGAGCCCCACAATTCCCTTAAAGGAGTGAGGTTCAATGCCAGACCGAGCCATCATTCACTGCCAACCAACACATGCCCCGGATCAACGGAACCAAAGTCGCCACACTGCCCACCGTTCATTCTGTCAAGCATACCAAAGCCCCACACTTCTCCTGAAGGAGTGAGGTTCAATGCAAGATTGAGCCATCATTCACTGCCAAGCAACACAAGCCCCGAATAAACGGGATCAAAGTCGCCACACTGCCCAACCGTTCATCTTGTCAAGCATACTATAGACCCACACTTTCCCTGAAGGAGTGAGGATCAATGCAAGATCGACCGATTATTCACTGCCAAGCAACTCACACGCCTAATCAAAGGGAACAGAGTCCCCACACTGTCCAACCGTTCATTTTTTGAAGCATATCAGAGCCCCACACTTCCCTTGTAGGAGTGAGGTTCAATGCCAGACCGAGCCATCATTCACTGCCAACCAACACATGCCCCGGATCAACGGGATCAAAGTCCCCACACTGCCCAACCGTTCATCTTTTGAAGCATATCAGAGCCCCACACTTCCCTTGAAGGAGTGAGGTTCAATGGCAGACCGACTCATCATTCACTGCCAAGCAACACATGCCCCAAACCAACGGGATCAAAGTCCCCACACTGCCCAACCGTTCATCTTGTCAAGCATACTGAGTCCCACACTTCCCTTGAAGGAGTGAGGTGCAATGCCAAGCCGCCATCATTCAAGACCAACTAACACATGCCCCGAATCAATGGGATCAAAGTCCACACACTGCCCAACCGTTCATCTTGTCACGCACACCAAAGCCCCCCACACTTCCCTTGAAGTAGTGAGGTTCAATGCAGAAAAGAGCGATTATTCATTGCCAAGCAACGCATGCCCCGAATGACCAGGAACAAAGTCCACGAACTGCCCCACCATCCACCTTGTCCGGCATACCAAAGACTCACACTTCCCTTGAAGGAGTGAGGTTCAACACACAAGACCGAACCATCATTCACTGCCAAGCAACATATACCCCGAATCAACGGGATCGCAGTCTCCGCATTGCCCAACCGTTCATCTTGTCAAGCATACCAAAGCCCCACATTTCCCTTGATGGAGTGAGGATCAATGCAAGATCGACCGTTCATTCACTGCCAAGCAACGCACTCGCCTAATCAAAGGGAACAGAGTCCCCACACTGCCCAACCGTTCATCTTGTCAAGCATATTAGGGCCCCACACTTCCCTTGAAGGAGTGAGGTTCAATGCCAGACCGAGCCATCATTCGCGGCCAACCAACAAATGCCACAAATCAACGGGATCAAAGTCGCCACACTGCCCTCCCGTTCATCTTGTCAAGCATACCAAAGCCTCACACTTCCCCTGAAGGAATGAGGATCGATGCAACATCGACCGATTTTTCACTGCCAAGCAACTCAGACGCCTACTCAAGGGGAACAGAGTCCCCACACTGCCCAACCGTTCACTTTGTCAAGCTTTCCAAAGCCCCACACTTCCCTTGAAGGAGTGAGGTTCAATGCCAGACCGACCCATCATTCACTGCCAAGCAACACATGCCCCGAATCAACGGCTTCAAAGCCTCCACACTGCCCAACCGTTCATCTTGTCAAGGATCGCAAAGCCTCACACTTCCCTTGAAGGAGTGAGGTTCAATGCAAGACCGAGCCATCACTCACTGCCAAGCAATACATGCCCCGAATCAACGGGATCAAAGTCGCCACCCTGCCCAACCGTTCATCTTGTCAACCATACCAAAGCCCCAGACCTCCTTTGAAGGAATGACGTTCAATGCGAGATCGACCGATCATTCACTGCCAAAAGACGAACACGCCTAATCAAAAAGAACATAGTCCCCACACCGCCCAATCGTTCATCTTCTCAAGCATATCAGAGTCCCACACTTCCCTTGAAGGAGTGAGGTTCAATGCAAGACCGAGCCATCATTCACTGCCAAGCAACATATACCCCGAATCAACGTGATCATAGTCTCCGCAATGCCCATCCGTTCATCTTGCCAAACATACCAAAGCCCCACTCTTCCCTTGAAGGAGTGAGGATCAATGCAAGATCGACCGATCATTCACTGCCAAGCAACGCACTCGCCCAATCAAAGGGAACAGAGTCCCCACATTGCCCAACCGTTCATCTTGTCAAGCATATTAGAGCCCCACACTTCCCTTGAAGGAGTGAGGTTCAATGCCAGACCGGGCCATCAATCACTGCCAAGCAACACATGCCCCGAATCAACCGGATCAAAGTCCACACGCTGCCCAACCGTTCATCTTGTCACGCACACCAAAGCCCAACACTTCCCTTGAAGTAACGAGGTTCAATGCAGGAAAGGGCAATTATTCATTGCCAAGCAACGCATGCCCGGAATCACCAAGAACAAAGTCCCCGAATTGCCCAACCATTCACCTTGTCCAGCATACCAAAGCCTCATACTGCACTTGAAGGAGTGAGGTTCAATGCAAGACCGAGCCATCATTCACTGCCAAGCAACACATGCCCCGAATCAACGGGATCAAAGTCCCCACACTGCCCAACCGTTCATCTTGTCAAGCATATCAGAGTCCCACACTTCCCTTGAAGGAGTGAGGTTCAATGCCAAGCCGCCATCATTCAAGGCCAACTAACACATACCCCGAATCAACGGGATCAAAGTCCACACACTGCCCAACCGATCTTCTTGTCAAGCACTCCAAAGCCCCACACTTCCCTTGAAGGAGTGAGGTTCAATGGAGGACAGCGCCATTATTCACCGCCAAGAAAACCATGCTCCGAATCACCTGGAACAAAGTCGCCGAGTTGCACAACCGTTCACCTTGTCAAGCATACCAAAGCCCAACACTTCCATTGAAGGAGTGAGGTTCAATGCAAGACCGGCCCATCATTCACTGCCAAGCAACACATGCCACGAATCAACAGGATCAAAGTCTCCACACTGCCCAACCGTTCATCTTGTCAAGCATACTACAGCCCCACACTTTCCTTGAAGGAGGAGTGAGGGTCGATGCAAGATCGACCGATTATTCAATGCCAAGCAACTCACACGCCTAACCGAAGGGAACAGAGTCCCAGCACTGCCCAACCGTTCATCTTGTGAAGCATATCAGAGCCCCACACTTCCCTTGAAGGAGTGAGGTTCAATGCCAGACCAACCCATCATTCGCTGCCAAGCAACACATGCCCCGAATCAACGCGATCAAAGTCCCCACACTGCCCAACAGTTCATCTTGTCAAGCATATCAGAGTCCCACACTTCCCTTGAAGGAGTGAGGACAGCGCCATTATTCACCGCCAAGAAAACCATGCTCCGAATCACCTGGAACAAAGTCGCCGAGTTGCACAACCGTTCACCTTGTCAAGCATACCAAAGCCCAACACTTCCATTGAAGGAGTGAGGTTCAATGCAAGACCGGCCCATCATTCACTGCCAAGCAACACATGCCACGAATCAACAGGATCAAAGTCTCCACACTGCCCAACCGTTCATCTTGTCAAGCATACTACAGCCCCACACTTTCCTTGAAGGAGGAGTGAGGGTCGATGCAAGATCGACCGATTATTCAATGCCAAGCAACTCACACGCCTAACCGAAGGGAACAGAGTCCCAGCACTGCCCAACCGTTCATCTTGTGAAGCATATCAGAGCCCCACACTTCCCTTGAAGGAGTGAGGTTCAATGCCAGACCGACCCATCATTCGCTGCCAAGCAACACATGCCCCAAATCAACGGAATCAAAGTCCCCACACTGCCCAACCGTTCATCTTGTCAAGCATATCAGAGTCCCACACTTCCCTTGAAGGAGTGAGGTTCAATGCCAAGCCGCCATCATTCAAGGCCAACTAACACATACCCCGAATCAACGGGATCAAAGTCCACACACTGCCCAACCGATCTTCTTGTCACGCACACCAAAGCCCCACACTTCCCTTGAAGGAGTGAGGTTCAATGCAGGAAAAAGCAATTATTCAATGCCAGGCAACACATGCCCCGAATCACCAGGAACAAAGTCCCCGAACTGCCCAACCATTCACCTTGTCCAGCATACTAAAGACTCATACTTCCCTTGAAGGAGTGAGGTTCAATGCAAGACCGAGCCATCATTCACTGCCAAGCAACACATGCCCCGAGTCAACGGCATCAAAGCCTCCACACTGCCCAAACGTTCATCTTGTCAAGCATACCAAAGCTCCACAATTCCCTTGAAGGAGTGAGGTTCAATACAAGTCCGAACCATCATTCACTGCCAAGCAACATATACCCCGAATCAACGTGACCACAGTCTCCGCACTGCCCATCC